GCATCAGATTTTAAGATACAGGATAGAAGGCTGGCCATTTTGTAATCACAAAGGGGCAGGCTTCCTGGGAATAAAGTTAATTTAGAGGAAAGAACTGAGAGATGGAAAGAACGAGAAAAATAAGAAATCATCTGGTGATACAGATCCAGCCCCGAATCTGTGGGCCTGAATTCTGAAGTCTGACTACCCTTGGGATTTTCTTTTAGGGGAATCAATACATCTTTTTGCCTAGACCCTGGGCGCTGACTCTGTCACAGCTGAATGAGTTCTTATGACCAGCGGACATAGCAGTGGCACTGGGACTTGGGCAGCAGGGGCCACCCTTTCCTTTCTGTCTTCCCTGCTGCCCCACATTCTGCAGGATGTAAATTCTCAGCTCTGAGAAGTCCTCCCAATTTGCTGCCTTGAATAAGCTGAACTAGTAGGACTGGGGTGGGAGGTTGGTGTGTGGGCATGGCCCGAATATTCTAATGTCTCAATAGACAGAATTGCAGATTGGATCTTACTTGTATTTCATCGATTCCATTTAGTAGTGTGGTGGTTAAGTGTTTACCCAGCAACCAAATAGAAAAAGCCCTGCATTGCAGCATTTGCTGGTTTCTGTGGTATAAATATTTCCACACGCCAACTGTGAGCTACCAATAGGACAACTCTGCATGCGGAGACATGAACTGATATAAGTAGCCCAGCATTAGACAGAATTTCTAAGCACGAACTTAGTAGTTGTAAGTAACCTCAAGGTCATAGATAGTAATAAAATGCAGTAAATAATTAGTAAATTATACATGTTGAATTTTTGCTTTTCATATAATTTAGCTCATTGTAGGGTTATATAATTTGATTCTTTAAATGTCTGTGTAGAACAACTAATTGGCTCACTGTATCCCTAAAAATGTTGTGATTGGCCTGTGTGAGCTGGTACAAGCTGGTTCCAGTAAACTACTGATGACACTTAGCTCCCAGAGGACAGGACTACTGCTCAGGAACCTGGTGTGCATTCTGTTTCAAAGGCAAAAAAGAAGGGACCTGGAAGGTATCTGAAAAACGTGATTTTGGTGAAAGCCCGTGCCAAGTTGAAGTGTGCAATTGGATTAGGTGTAGAGTAACCAAGTGTTTTAATTTTCAAGCATTGTATTTTTTCCTGAACAAGAGAGCTCTTGGTCATAGACAAAACAATCGTTCTTACTCTCCAAACAGAATCAGAGGTATGAACCCTTAATAACAATTTTTCCGCATTATGACTGACAATGATCCTTGAAAGTTTAGCCTTTATGTATGTTAGTAAGAAAGAATTTAAGTAGGTTAGATGTAAGTGGATTAGATGTGTAATGAGTTCTCTGAATGGGATGTATGATCCGGAGCGGTTTGCACAGCACAGCGAGGTAGTACTCTTGCCCTGTGTGATCAGCTGGACCTGCTCTGTAGGAGGGCCTCGGAACAGTCATGTGTAGGGCAAGGGCCCTGTAACCATCCGGGCTCCAACAGGAAATAGATGGTACGTCCAGAGCAGCATAATGTGAGGAGTGTTTGAGGCAGAGAGTCTTGACAAAGGTGTGGGCAGGTACAGGGAAACCACAGGCCTATGCAGACTCCAGACCCAATGGCTTCATTACCTTCCCTAGGCTGGAAGGTGCAAACAGTTACTGGAGGTGCTGATGGAGAGGGCCTTGGCCTGAAGGGAGGGATGCCGGGAGTAAACACCCTTGATCTCTCTCTTCTCTTTCCCTCTGCTTTGGTCATGATTCTCAGGGACACCTCTGACTCTCTGAAAGTCTAACGTCATTTAGACAGTAATGCTGTCTCTAGAGCCTAATATCTAGGTTATTTGCATAATAAAAGTGTGTCTTTCCACAGCCAGGAGGTGGCAGCAAAGCTCTGTTTTGAAGGGGCCTGTGCTGTCCAAGGCCCAGAGCTCAAAGTCCAGGCTTGGTGGCTAGATTTCACTGCTGAAAACTAATAATAATAGTAATAATTGTAATAGGAGTAGTACTAGTAACGTACTAGTAACAATATTATTATCATTATTGTTGAAACAGCAACAATGCCACCTTCAACTTGGGCAGGACAGCGTAGTTGAAGAAACCTTTTGCACAGAATCACAGAGGCATCTCTCAACTGCTCTATCCTGTGGGTAGTTAGTGCCAGGACTTTCAGTCTCACGTTGAGGCTCCAGAGGCATCACATTACATGCCCAAGGACGCCTGGGAAGTACGAAGTGCCAAGACTGGAATCCAAGCTTTGGTCCTGTGCCAACTCCATCTCACTGTGTGGGAGACCAAGGCAAGGTCCCCTCTGCCTCCCTCTTCACTTTGCAAGAGTGGAGTCAGGGATACGCAGCCAAGGAGCCTGAGGGCTGCAGAGCCAAGCTGGGATTTGATGCGCAGATGCTGGGGAAGAAAACTCAACATGGCAGCTACATCTTTACTTTCTTCTCTCCTTCCACTCCTCAGAAAAAAATATTTTTTAAAATCATCCATATTTCATTCTCATCAGGGTGTACTTAGTATCCAGGTATGAAATATTCTCATTCATTCCTTTATTCATTAATCAGAATGCCACATAAGACACTGTTACACACTGTGAGGGATGTAGAAATGCTCTATCTCTTCTAAACTCAGAGATCTGGAGTCCAGGGTGGGGATGTCGGGGCCAGGTAAGTGCAGAAGTATCTGGGGGTGGCTTCTTTCTAGGGAGCTCCAGGTGCACCAGGGAGTGTTAGAGCAGATGGAATTCAGTCTGCTTTTGTTAGGGTGTCAGAGAGGAGTGATTCCATATGAACTTTTTTTTTATGACACCCTAATGCATGATGTATTAACTCCTCTAACCAGAGGGAGCTCCTCAGTGACACAGTCAAAGCCCCAGATGGCTGTTCATCTGGACCCTCGTCTTACACTCCACCTATGTCCTGACACCATGTCTCACCCCTCCTCATCAAGATGACAGGTGACCAGGGTGCTAACTAAATTCTAGAGCAAGGGCACTTACACATTCTCAATTACTTCACAAGGCAACCCTACAAAGTACATGGTTACATCCCATTTTACACATGAGGAACCTGAGGCTTAAAGTCACGAAGTCATGGACTTGCCCTAAATCACAAAGCTAGTGAGTAGGGGGGCAGTACTGGCACCCAGGGCCCTTACTGTCACAGCACACACCACTCAGCTGGAAAACCCACCACTGGGAGATGCTGTGCTCTACGGTGAGTCTGAAGAGTGGTACTTTCATTCCCTTCTCAAGCTTGGGCAAGACACTGCCTGTCTGCACACCTTCAGAAAATGAGGGCACTAATACCTGCCTGATTTCCTGATGGGCCTGTTGTGTAGCCCAAATGGAAAAGAGAAAAACAGGCATGTGAAATCTCAGCATGATTCAAAATTGCTCTATGTGTTTGAAATGCTATTATCCTTCTTATTGAGTGGGCAATGTGAGGTGGCAGGAGGGCTGGCTGGACTAGCTGTTGGCATCTAGGCACTATGAGAATGACTTTAGTTTCATTGTCTGCAAAATTGGGTAGATGGAAGAGATCATTCTTAATAGGTTCTTTCAGTCCTAAAGTTGAGCAATGATGATGTTGTTGGTAGTGGTGACCATGGTGAAGATGGTGATGATGGTTGTGAGAATGGTTGTGATGGTGAGGATGGTGATGGTGGTGATGATGGTGTTGGTGGTAAGAATGGTTGTGATGGTGATGATGGTGAAGATGGGGGTGATAGTAATGTCAGACATCTGAGGTCACCTGAACTCAGAATCATTTCCTGCCACCGTCACTGCTTCAAGCCCTGCTGAGTCAAAGGCACATGGGGTGGGCTGTTGATGAGATGGAAAGCAGGCTATAGAAGGTCAGGGAGAAGGGATGACCCAAGATGTTAGAGGATAGTATATTTATATCAGTGCCTGGTACATAGAAAGCCAGTACTACTACCAGTTAGTGGTTTTATTGAAATACAATTCACATACCATACAATTCAATGGCTTTAGTATATTCACAGAGTTATACACCTATCACCACGATTTTAGAATATTTTCATTTTCCTGAAAAAGAACCCTACACCACTTATTAACACCCCAACCCCTCCATCCATCCCAGCTAAGCTAGAATTTTAGTATATCTCTGCCTTACAGAATAAGGAAAAAGAGGCTCAGAGGGGAGACGAATTTACCCAAGGCCACACAGTTGATGTGTGACAGGGTTGGGATTCCACCCAAATTTCCCAAGAACCCGAAGCCCAGGCATGGATGAGTTCAAGTCCACCTTCTGCCCTCTCAGATGTTATGGGAAGCAGTGTGCACATGGTGGGGGGGCATCTGAGAGGCATGTATACAGCCCCTTAGAGGGACAGGATGGAAAAGCAGAGTTTTTTAGTGGCAAGAACACTGTCTGGGAGCCTAGGATCTTGGGGGTCTAGTCTCCACCCTGTCCTGGGCAATTATAGTCAGAGAGCTTAATCTATCTGGGCCCAGTTTCCCTATCTGTAAATTTAGGTAGAAAATGGAGAACTGAACTTTAAACATTTACGAGTTCCTAGGGAGAAAATGTGCTATCATTATCTGGAAGGGTCTTTATTTCTAAACGCTAAGGTAGCCAGTGAGTTACCAGGCTTGGGATGGGTATACACTTTTGCTACTTGGGGCAAGAAGAGTCCACTTGCACACTCCATACTTTCTGTATATGTACAACAGGTCAGGCAAGACTATAAACACCACCCCATGGAAGAGGACTCAACCACGCTAATAGACGCAACAGACCCAGTGTGGAGTTAGGAGGAATTATTTCTCACATTTTCCCTCCCCTCTCCCAAGGGGTCCCATGGCAACAGGCATCAGGAAAGCCTCATTCTTCCATCTTCTGTGGGAGAAAAAAATTGTACACAGGAAATAAGTCAAACTGAAGGCGAGGCTGAGCATCGCCTTTAAGTGGAGCAGCTGGAAAGGGGGAACTTCAGAAAAACATTAAGAAATGGCATAGTTTCCCTTTGTGCATTGTAAAAACAAAGTAGTCAAGCCCCTGGAGATGGGATGAGTCCCCCAAAAAGCAGGGGCTTCTTGGGCAGTGCCCCTTGGAACAGGGAAGGGTGGGGATGACAAGGTGACTGGCCCCTTGGGGTACTCTGCATACAGTAAAAGAGTTCCAAGGTCCATCAAAGGTGGGAAAGACTGCATTCTAGAATGTCCTTCACTGCTGGAGCCTGGGCCATGGGGTCCCAGGTGGGGTGGTGGCCTCCTTGAGTGCCCACCCGGCAGCAGGGAAGAGAAGCCAGCAAGCAGGCTCCAGGCTCCCCCGGTGCCACTTAGTCCCCATCTCATCTGGGCTCCTGCATCTCGGCTCTTGGCCCTCAGCATGTGGACCTGGGACTCAGCAACATCTGCCCTCTCCTCAGCCTTCTCAGCCCGTGCTGGAGCCTGCGGCACTTGGACAGTTGCGCGTTGGCCTGCTCCTCCTGAACAGAACGGGGGTGCTGAGCAAGCTCTGGCTCTGGCTCCGAGGCTCCCAGTCCCTGAAGGCCTCTGGGAACTGCGCAGCCTGGGCAGCTTGGGAGCAGAGGAGGAAGTGCTGAGCTCGCGGGCGTGAGGACAGTGCTCCTGGCCTCTGGCCATGTGTCCTGTCCCATCACCTCACGGGAGCTGCTGACACTCCTGGCGCCCTCTCGCCTCCCCTGCCCCCCTGCTCTGTGCCATCTCTCCCATGGAACTCTTTGGAGGAAAACCAAGTCCAGGGTCCTCCCAAAGCACCTGGGAGTGTCAGAGACCAAGGTCCTGTGCCCCCTCCCAGCACCATGCACCTGCGGCCAGGCCACTCTGTAGGTCTATTTGAGGGCGATCCAGGAGTTCCGGACAAAGGTGGCTTCCTAGGCACCCTCCAGCCTGGCCGTCCTGCTGAACTACTAATCTGCTGGGCCTGAATCCCTCCCCCACTTAACCTTCTGCTTCCCTGAGGTCAGGGCGGAGCCACCAGCCTCTCTGGCAGGGAGGAAAAAGGACCAGGAGATAAGTGATGTGCTCATTTATCTAGTGCAGGGCCCCCCATTTTGTTCCTCAGAACGCTGGTCCTGTGGGATACTCTGCATACAATAAAAGGGTCCCAAGGCCCACCAAAGGTGGGAAAGGCTGCGTTCTAGAATGACTCTCCACTTTGAAGAGTACATATTACCTACAAATCAGACATCAAAGGTGGGAAAGACTGCATTCTAGAATGTCCTTCACTGCTGGAGCCTGGGCCATGGGGTCCCAGGTGGGGTGGTGGCCTCCTTGAGTGCCCACCCGGCAGCAGGGAAGAGAAGCCAGCAAGCAGGCTCCAGGCTCCCCCGGTGCCACTTAGTCCCCGTCTCATCTGGGCTCCTGCATCTCGGCTCTTGGCCCTCAGCATGTGGACCTGGGACTCAGCAACATCTGCCCTCTCCTCAGCCTTCTCAGCCCGTGCTGGAGCCTGCGGCACTTGGACAGTTGCGCGTTGGCCTGCTCCTCCTGAACAGAACGGGGGTGCTGAGCAAGCTCTGGCTCTGGCTCCGAGGCTCCCAGTCCCTGAAGGCCTCTGGGAACTGCGCAGCCTGGGCAGCTTGGGAGCAGAGGAGGAAGTGCTGAGCTCGCGGGCGTGAGGACAGTGCTCCTGGCCTCTGGCCATGTGTCCTGTCCCATCACCTCACGGGAGCTGCTGACACTCCTGGCGCCCTCTCGCCTCCCCTGCCCCCCTGCTCTGTGCCATCTCTCCCATGGAACTCTTTGGAGGAAAACCAAGTCCAGGGTCCTCCCAAAGCACCTGGGAGTGTCAGAGACCAAGGTCCTGTGCCCCCTCCCAGCACCATGCACCTGCGGCCAGGCCACTCTGTAGGTCTATTTGAGGGCGATCCAGGAGTTCCGGACAAAGGTGGCTTCCTAGGCACCCTCCAGCCTGGCCGTCCTGCTGAACTACTAATCTGCTGGGCCTGAATCCCTCCCCCACTTAACCTTCTGCTTCCCTGAGGTCAGGGCGGAGCCACCAGCCTCTCTGGCAGGGAGGAAAAAGGACCAGGAGATAAGTGATGTGCTCATTTATCTAGTGCAGGGCCCCCCATTTTGTTCCTCAGAACGCTGGTCCTGTGGGATACTCTGCATACAATAAAAGGGTCCCAAGGCCCACCAAAGGTGGGAAAGGCTGCGTTCTAGAATGACTCTCCACTTTGAAGAGTACATATTACCTACAAATCAGAGAAATCCTTGAAGTAAAGCAACCAATTCAGCACTGTTTAACCTGGAGTTTCCCAAACGATTTCTTTTCTATGGAAGTCAAAGCCCCCACCCACAACACCCTGCTGTACCTGCCCCCAGCCCCAGCTTCCAGTTATTAGCATCCCTCAGACCTGGTGTCTCCTGAAAATACTTTGGGAAACACTGGTGTCAGCCCCTCCCATCGTTGGTTTCACCGATTTGATCAAAGGCCGCTCAAAAAGGACAGATTAGAGTGGTGGGAGTTGGGGTGGGGAGCAAGCGGGACCATGTGGACCAGGTCACAGGGGTGGGGAGGGCTGGGAATAGGCTGAGGGGGCTAGGGCGTGGCGGGGCGGGGAGGTCGTTCAACACAGACCAGGGGAGGGAGGAAGGCAAGCGGCCCTGGGTTTCTAGCCTGCAAATGAAAACTCAGGCTTTCGCCTCCATGGACGCTAGGTAACAGGAGCATGCTGCTGCTTGGGGGTTGGGGGGCACCCAGGCCATTGCTGGCTCCCGGGACCCCCATACTCACGGCCTCCTCAGCCTGCCTCCTGTAAGCCTTCACTTTGTCCTGCAGGTCTTCCCCCAGGTCCTGGAGCTGGAGGATATTCTTGCGATCCTCGTCAGCCTGCAAAAACAGCAGCCGTGCCAGGGCCCCACACCCACGGCTGCTTCTGATGGGGTCTCATCAATGAAGCCTTCGCTGAGGTTCCTGAGGCCACTACCTGTTAAGTCATTCATTTCCTTGATTTTTCGCTCTTATTTGTGGGCCCCCTCCAGAGCCTCGGCTCCTCTCTTCTGCTCAGCATCTAGCTCATTTTCCAGCTCCCGCACCTGGGCATGGTGGAAACACAGAATTCAAGTCAGATCTCCCAGGCTTCTCTCAAGGACGCATGTGTCAGTCCTCTTAGGGTGAACTTAACGTCTTTTAACTATTATTTTGCAAAAGCGTCTCCTCTCAAGGCTCAGAAACCACACTTTATTTCCAAGGCCACCACTAGTCCACGCAGTGGCTTTGTGCAAATGAGAACAAGACTCTGTCTCCAGGCAGAAGCAGCCCTAGGTGCACACAGCTTGGCTACTGCGTTGGGCTTTGCAAAGGATGCTGCTCCCTCTGAGGCCACAGTTTTGTGAGGACTGTGCTTCAGCCCAGGCTTGCCTCTGCAGGCAAAGCCTGTGTGACCATTTGTGATGGCCCTGGTGTCTGACCAAGGAAGGCAGCAGAGGTCATGGACAAAACCTGGGCTAGGAAGAGTCAGAGCTGTGTTCAAGCCCCAGGTCCAGCTGACTGATCCAGAGCAAGCCAGCTGCCATCACTGAGAATGAGTTTTTGTATATTTAAGATGCAGATGATCATTCCTGCCCCAACCTACCTCAAGTGTGGGGATCAACTTAGACACACATGTGCAAGTATATTGTTAAACGATAAAGTGCTACGCAGGTATTGTTAATTTCATAATTGCGCCTGCCTTTTCTGAAGCCTTGAGAGGACAGGACCACCGAGAACGCAGGTCACCAACTGCAGCCCTGAGTTCACGGTCCAGAGAGAGCCAAGAAGTGGGGGTGGTGACCAGCCATTGGGAATCTCAGTGGCCACAGACAGGGGGCAGCTCTGGGCTTGCAGACCTACTAGATTAACCCTGCAATCTACCAGGGAATCAGGTTAGCTCAGCCATGTTCCAAAACAGATCTCAGTTCCCAGCCCTCACCCTATGGGTCCTGGGAAGCTGTCTCCCCTCAGGTTCTACAAAATATCTGTGTTCCTGGGAATGCCCTCTAAGTCTCTGTGAGGGTTATGGAGTTAAGGTCACCGGGCAGCTGGGAGTTGGAGGACAACACGCCTCCCCGTGTGAGGGGGAGGCAGGCTGAGGGCTCCCTGCCAGGCCTGCATCACACACTCATGGGGCGGCGCATGGGATTGAATCCCTCCGTGATGGAGGGATCCATGGGGATGACTGGCCTAAGCTTGTTCTAATGGAATAGGGCTGGGAATAATTAAAAAGAAACATTCAGAACATTTTTGTGGAGGCTTTAACTTCCCTGTGCTTACTTTTGTTACTCACATGTCTATAGTCTTATAGTTTTTAGCCAAAAAATCCTTCAATATTTAATGTGTACAATTACTGGTGACCACATGCCGGGGAGGCTGGCCTAAGGGAGGACTGTCCTGGGGGTTTGTCCAGTGGGGAAGGGGCTTCCTTCTCTTTGCCTGCCCCTCATCCTCTGCCTCCCACTCTTTTTTTTCTTTTTAAACGACTGTAAGGTTTGTTCATTCCATTTTTTTATTATTGATATACACTTTTATGAAGGTTTCTCATGAAAGACAATGTGATTACTCCATTCACCCACATTATGGGTTCTCCCCATACCCCACTGCAGTCGCTGTCCATCAGCATAGTAAGATGCCACAGAGTCACTACTTGCCTTCTCTGTGCTGCACTGTCTTCCCCGTGAACCCCCCGACACCATGTGTGCTAATCACAGTACCCCTCAACCCCCTTCTCCCTCCCTCCCCACCCACCCTCCCCACCCCTACCCTTTGGTAACCGCGAGTTCCTTCTTGGAGTCTGTGAGTCTGTTGCTGTTTTGTTCCTTCAGTTTTTTCTTCTTTCTTATACTCCACAGATGAGTGAAATCATTTGATACTTATCTTTCTCTGCCTGGCTTATTTTACTGAGCATAATAGCCTCTAGCTCCATCCATGTTGTTGCAAACGGTAGGATTTGTTTTCTTCTTATGGCTGAATAATATTCCATTGTGTATATGTACCACCTCTTCTTTATCCATTCATCTACTGATGGACACTTAGGTTGTTTCCATATCTGGGCTATTATAAACAGTGCTGCAATAAACATAGGGGTGCATCTGTCTCTCTGAATATGAGAACTTGTATTCTTTGGGTAAATTCCTAGGGTGTGCCTCTCACTCTTTCATTTAGTCTCTCCAGGGTGCAAGGGGACATTCTAGCAGCTCCTTCGAGTAGCCCTTCTCCAAAACATCAACTGGTAGTGGAGCCCATTTTAAAAACAAGTGAAATAAACCATCACAGGTCTGAAGGGGAAAGTAAGAGGTACAGGAAATAAGGGGATAATCAGAAAGAAACTAAGCAAGCACAAAATATGCTCCCAGATAAAAGAGCAGGACTACCCTACATGGGCACTGAGCTTTCCTGGTGCATTCGCTAGAGGAAGGGCCAATCACCCTCCATTTAGGATGGAGTGGACTGTATACCAGAATTGCAAATTGCACTTAGAGTTTAGGAAATTTGAGAAGGGAATGAGAACAGGGGATGTGAGGGAGACAACAGATTTTACTTAGGATGGGCCATTGTTTATCAAAGTGGAAGTTGGCACAAAATATAAATTATGCCCACATATATAATTTTATGAATGTCAAGCACACCCGCCCCACCACCATTATGTAGATATGAATGCATATAAAAACAGAATGTGAACATTTCAACATGTCATCACACTATAGTTACTGAGGCATAACGTTATAAAGTGCATTTGTGTGCCGGGGTGGAGGGGCCAGCAAAAGAAAAATAGGGAGAAATTGGGCTCACAGAGCGATCTGCAAGCAGTCCTCAGCAGTCTACTCCATCCACGGCCACTTTCCCACAACGCAGTTTCCAGAGAGTGGTTCTGAACCACTTTGAGACCCTCTCAAGCCACTCTACCCTGGCCTCCAGTTTCTGGATCTGCTTCTTCCCGCCCTTCAGGGCCAGCTGCTCAGCCTCGTACAGGCGGTGCTGCAGGTCCTTCACCGTCTGCTCCAGGTTCTTCTTTATCCCCTCCAGGTGGGCGCTGGTGTCCTGCTCCTTCTTCAGTTCCTCGGCCATTAGGGCTGCCTGGTTAAGTTCACAGCAAATATCAGTGGGCCAACCTCCCATCCCTGCTGGGAGCGATGCTGTGAAGGTGGGTATGGTGTGTGGATGCCTGGTTCCCTCCCCCATTCATTGCTGATCATGCCTCCCCACTCTGTCTCCGCTGAGCTCATTCCATCTGCCCCGGAAGCCACCACAGACTGCCTGCAGAAGATGCAATCTGCTTGTCATGTCCTGGCCCTAGAAACCCCTTTCTCATCTCCAAACACCATCTCTGAAAAGAAAGAGCAGAGCTCATGTCCATGATGGCCTTCTTGGCCTTCTCCTCTGCATTTCTGGACTCCTGGATAGAGCTCTCCACCTTTGCCTGCCACTGGGCTATGTCAGCTTCCAGTTTTTTCTTGGCACTTAGCAGGCCTGTGTTCTGTAAGCAAAATTAGATACCAGAGGTGTAGGTTATATTTGGAGACTGAAACAGTTGGGAAGGAGAGATTTTGGTGGGGAAGGAAATAAATCATAGTCATACTCTTATTTTTCACATGGGGATTTGCTAGATACTGTTTCATTCTTGACCCAACAGAAAGTCCTGTAATAGATCCATGAAGTGTACATAAAATAACTGAGTAAACAATTCAGGTAGACTTTCAAGAATTTGAGGAAGGATAGATTATGCAGTGAAAGGTGTTGGAACAAGGAAATGAGTGATAGACATAACTGTATAAAATGAAAAAGAATTCTAGTGGTCAAAAAATACCATAAATGGAATTGTAAGGCTGGTTACAAACTAGAACACATTTGCAGTGTATATGGTCAAAAAACATTCCCTTCCTTAACATATAAAAAAAGATGAATCATGCAAATAAGAAGAAAGGGCAAAAAACACAAACAGGTAAAACACACCAGAAGAAATACAAATGACAAATAAAATGAAAAATTTCACCAGATTAGTAATAAACAAAAGAATAATTTTTAAAAATGAGGTATTTTTCAACATTAAAATTGGTGAAGATTAAGAAAGTATGAGCTAGATCTTTAAACATGTATAGGAAAGAGCTCACACATATTTTCCCAATGGAAATAAAAGCTGGGACAACTTTGTTGAACATCAATTTACAGTGTATTATAAATGTCTATTATTTTGACCATAAGGTGTTGCTTCTAGGAATTTATTTTTTAGGAATATTAAGGAAATAGTAATAATGGATATATGTGAAAATTTAGTTACAAAGAAGTTCATCACTGCAATCTTTCTAATAGCAAAAGTTTTTATTGGGAACAATTTAAAACATCCAATCATAGTGGACTGATTAAATAAAAGTGCCAAGACACCCAAACATAATGGATTAGTTTCCACTATGAAAAATAGTTATAGAAGACTAAAGATGCAGAAATACATTCATGACAGGTTGTTAACATGGAAGTAATAAACTGTAATAAGATCACATTAAAAAAAATTAACATCATATATGTAGACAAGGCTTAGGATCAAAGATCCCAAAATGTTAACAATATGGTTAGTACTTTTCTTCTGTTTGTTTTCTTGTATTTTCCATTTTTTATACACAGGAATTTAAACAAACTTTTATAAAAATAATTATTTTTTAAAAATCCTAATTTTCTAAGATCACAGCTTAGATGTTGCTTCCACTGTGAAGTCTTCTCCAGCCCCTTTATGCAATAAGTCACCCCTCCTTGCTCTGATTTCCCCACCATATGCATGACCTTTTATCTTCAGAGCAAAGAAAGCTCAGAAATCTGCCCATCTGAAATCAGTTATTCCAAGAAGTACACTTAATGCACTGTGGTCTTGGCTGCTAGCCTGGGAGCCACGGTGGGCGCTCCTTCCACCGCTTCGGGTCCTGCCTGCCCAAGCAGTGGGAGGATGGACGCACCTGGGTGTGCAGCCGCTGCCCGCGGTCGCTGGCCTCCAGCAGCTCCTGCCCCAACAGCCTGCATGTCCGCTCTGTCTGCTCCAGGGCCCCCTTCATCTCCTCCAGATCCTCCAGCAAGAGGCCGTTCCTGTGCTCCATGATGGCCAGCAGCTCCTTGAGGTCCTCACTGCTCCGCAGGGCGTCGTCAAGGTGAAGCTGCGAGTCCTGCAGGGGAAACCTGGAGTGAGTGCCCTGCCAGAGCAGAGGACAGGCTGAGCGCTTGCACGGCTGCTGGAGGCTGCATGCTCACCTTGAGCTGGCCCTGGACTGTGCGCAGTTGTTTCTGGGTCTCTGCTACCTGGCGGTTGGAGTGGCCCAGCTGAATCTCCATCTCACTGAGGTCTCCCTCCATCTTCTTCTTCAGCCTGAGAGCATCATTCCGGCTCTGGATTTCAGCATCCAGCATGCTCTGCATGGCCTTGGCTGCCCGCTGGCTGTTCCTTTTTAGCTGTTCAGTTTCTTTATCCTTCTCAGTGACTTTGCAGTCAAGCTTGGATTTTACTTGGCTCAACTCCAGTTGGACACGTAAAATCTTGCTCTCTTCATGTTCCAAGCAACCCTGATAAAACCAAGGGGTGATTGGGAGTGCCATGGGTAGCCATCTTCTTGAATGGGTATATTCTTCCCCATGATGATAAAATGGGTATTATTATACCCGTTAAGAAATATGGTAACACTTATTCCAGATATACCAGTAATACTTAAACCAGAGAAGTAGAACAATACTCAACGAGGCCAAATAATTTGCTCCCAAATGTCCCTTCTAGTAATGAAACTGGAGCTAAAATTTTGTGTCTGTTATTAGCAATTTTATGTCTTGAGGGGGACACAACATCTTTTTAAATTAGTAAAAATTTTATTGAGTGTGTCTATTTCAATAGTGACCATAAGTCAGGAGCCAAGTTACCGTCTAAAATGACAGGGCAATTTGCTCCCCTGTTATCGTGCATTATGCAAATTTCCCTAGAAACATCTCAACCATCTGCCCTGTACTGGCCACAGCTGAGTACAACATCAGGACACCAGACCTATTTTTGTGATACAGAAGTCCTAATAGTTAGAGGTGATCATGCATGATGATATCTCAAAACCAAAGGATTCTCAGGATGTTTGATGATTAACTTCTTGCTTCCAGAGAAAGACACTGAGGACATAATGAACAAATTTATTTATTTTCAAAAGGGAGAATATGATAGACTAGAGGGCACCTGGATGATTAGCAGCAAAGCCAAGCTGTTTATTCCAAGAATGGCTGGATGTTCTTCCCAGTGAAGCCTTAGCACCTCGTGGCAGGAAGGTGCCCTAAGTACATGGTCTGGTCCCCACTCCTTCAGTGTCCTGCCCTCCTGACCTTCCAGGGGTCACGTCCAGACACTTGCCTCCAATTCTTCTAAGGCCGCCTGGAGGTCTGACTTTTCTTGCTCCATCTGCTTCTTGGTCTTTTCCAATTCCTGAAGATTCTTGCCGGTTTCTGCAATCTGCTCAGTTAAGTCTGAAATCTCTTCTGCAAAGGATAAGCTCACTTTAGGCTGTTTCATCAGGCTCCAGTTGATGGCAGAGACATTTACCCAGCAATTTGGGGTCAATGATTCATTCACAACATTTACATAGGAGAGAATACAGTGGAGCCCTTGAGGTGAGGCGTTGGCAAGATGCAGGTGTGTTGCCTCACCTGAGCTATGCAGAGAGGGGCAACAAGAACACTGCATAGCCCTGAAACCTCACAAAGTATACACAGTGGTGTCAGAGAGGACCAGAGAAGGCCATTGTGGAGAGAGTGCACAGAATCCCAGTCTTCTGGAAATAGAAAAGGTTTAGGGGGCACCAGATCTGGGATGTTTTTGTAGGTCAAGAGTCTGAAGTCCTAAGTGATTCATGATGTGCTCCAGGACACCAATCCCAGTCAAGACAGAATCTGTGGAGCATCTTGTTCTCTAACAGAGAGGTGAACTTAGCAAACACCATGCCCTCCATTCCGGAGAAGTGGGACTCTGTGCTACCATGCCCGATATTAGGAAGCTCTGGGCTTTGAGGTAAGCTGAGCAGATGTGAGGGTTTTGTAGTGGGAAGGAGGAAGCGTCTGGAGGTGGCTGTGGACAAATAGGGGAGAGAGGCGGAAGAAGAGGGGCATAGTTGCACCCCCAAGGTGGGGAGGATGCTCACCTCGTAGGTTTTTATTTTCCCTTCTCAGCATCTCTAACTGATCCACCACCTCCTTATAGGCATTCTGCATCTTGAAGATTCCAGTACTGAGTGACCTGGACCCTTTCTGAGCAGCTTCCAACTCAGCGTGACCCTCGTCCAGCTTTTACTTCCACTCTGCAAGGACCTAGGAGGTAACAAAGGACATGTGAGAAGCAGGAAGGGCCAGAGAGTCCCTGCAAACAAGGGCCATCAGCAATGCCAAGGTCTTACCCTTCCATCCTTAGGGATCAAACCAAGAGGGTGTCTAGCCCCCCATCCTAGATCCGGGGCTCTGAACGCTGATATCCTTACAGGTGATCTGCTGTATTCTTTTTGTTTTTGGTATAATTAATCTACAATTACATGAGGAACATTATGTTTACTAGACCTCCCCCATCACCAAGTCCCCCCCACAAACCCCGTTACAGTCACTATCCAT